TATCTTCTGTATACTTTATGGTTTCAGGTCTTATGTCTAGATCTTTAATCCATTTTGAGTTGGTTTTTGTGTTTATAATCTGGCTTCATTTTTTGTTCATAGCAGCCCAGCTTTCCCAGCACAATTTGTTGAACAAACTTTCTTTGTTCCATTGTATATTCTTTGCTCCTTTGTCAAAGATTAGCTGTCCATAAAGCTGTGGATTTATATCTGGGTTTTCTATTTGATTCCATTAGTCTGTATGTCTGTTCTTGTTCCAGTACCATGCAGTTTTAATTATTATGGTCTTGTAGTATAGTTTTAAGTCTAGGAGCATGATACCTCTATTCCCTTCTTTCTTATTCAGAAGAGCCTTGGATATTTGAGGTTATTTATGGCTCCATGTAAATTTCATCAGTATTTTTTCTATTTCTTTGAAAAATGTCATTGAAAATTTTATAGGTATAGCATTGAATCTATAAATTGCTTTTAGTGGGATGACCATTTTAATGACGCTAATTCTTCCAGTCCATGAGGAGAGGATCTTTCCATTTCTTTATGTCTTCTATATCTTTTAACAGTGTTTTATAATTTTCTTTGTGGAGGCCCTTCACCCCTTTTGTTATTCCCAAATATTTGATTTTTTTGTTTCAATTATTAAAGAAATGGTTTTCTTGATTTCTTCTTCTTCAGCATGATTGTGTATAGGAAGGCTATTGATTATTGTGTGTTGATTTTGTATCTTGCTACTTTACTAAACTGGTTTATTATTTTGATAAGTTTTTCTGTGGAGTTTTTGGGATTCTCTATGTATATTATGCTATCTGCAAACAGTGATAGTTTTACTTCTTTCCCTATTTGGAGTCCTTGTATCCCTTTTTCTTGTCTTATTGTTCTGCTAGGACTTCCAGTATTACATTGAAAAGCAGTGGTGAGAATGGACATCCTTGTCTTGTTCCTGACCTTAAGGGGAAGGATTTCAGCTTTTCACCATTGAGAATGACATTGGCTATGGGTTTGTCATTTATGGCCTTTATTATGTCAAGGTGTGTTCCTTCTATCCCAAGACTTTCAAGTACCTTTATGATGAATGGATGCTGGACTTTGTCAAATGCTTTCTCTGCATCTATTGATACGATGATAGGGTTTTTATTTTTCCTTTAGAGAATATTTTATCTATAGCAAAACAAGAAGAATTCTTCCACATTTTTTCTTTTGACATTTTATTTATTGCAATGTAAGAAAGATAAAGGGGGTGGGGGTCCAACTTATTTTTTTACCTATATGGTTAACAATATTTGCAAGTCCTTTTTTCTAGGGCCATTTATTTAATATGTTACAATTTCATTTATGAATGGATGTGCTTCTGCCTTCTTTAGTCTTCTTTAGCCTTCTTTAGGCTATGTTATTCCTATGTCAGAAGAACACTGTTTTAGTTACTATAACTTAGACTTCTGATACCTGTTAGAACAAATTTCCGCTTCTTACTCTTTTTCACTAGAAATACCTTGGTTATTCTTGTCCATTTGGTCTTCTGTATAACATTTAGAAATAGTTTATCAGGTTTTAAAATATTGCTGAAATTTTAATTATATTGCATTAAATCAATTAGGAAACACTGATTTCTTTTATTATAGTGTTTCTATACACTACTATGGTACTGCTTTCTGTTTACTTAGGTTTTGTCTTAGTCTACAAGAGTTTCAGTATTTTCTTTATAAAGATTTTAAAATTTATTCATTGGCACTTAATCATTTATATTTTTGCAAATTTTTCTTCTTTTAAATTATACTTTCTAGTTGTTTTGTTCCTGGTATTTAGAAGTGCAGCTGACTTCTTTATACATCGTTTCATCTGTTTTAATCTTAATTACTTTTCTAAGCTCTTATTCCAATTATTGATCTGTAGATTTTTTTAATTTATTTTCAAATTATTTGTTTATATTGTTCAAATTACTGTTATAATCAAATTATCTGAAAAGGATATTGTTACTTCTTCCTTTGTAATCCTGTGCCTTTAATATCTTTTTCATGTCTTCATACTTGCTGAAGTGTTGAACTCCAGCAGTGTTGAATAAAGTACTTATAGTCAACTTATTCCTGTTATTCCAGTTTTTATTTAGAAGGAAATACTTGTAATATTGCTCCATTAATTTTTTGCTGTAGTTAACTTTGTGCCCTTCAAACAGAATATAGATTATTTCATTTTTTTTATTTTTAATATATTTTTAACATCATTCTTCATTTTGTGCATTTTTTAGAATATAGTTTTTTTAATTTCATAAAATTGTTTTCAGTAAATTGCTCATAAGGGATTGTAAATTCTATATTCTACAGCTGCAATGTCATAAAACTCAAATTGATAATAAAATTTTAAACATGCTAGCTGAAAATTTTTAAAAGTAGATTCCTCAGTTTAGTTAAACTAAACTTACGGGTTTTGGAAATAGAAACATTGAGAATATTTTATCATAATTTATGAGTTAAGGCTAAAGCTATATTAAAAATAAAAGTCATTACCTTTAACATTTCACTCTGAAATAAAATAAGGAAAAGTATAGTCTGCCAAAGCTAGATTGCTCCAGGGCTTAGTTCCCAGAGCTCAGTTCTTAGGCTTCTTGTCTGCTTGCTCTTTCCTCAAGGATCTCATTAATGCTACAGTTTTACTAATTTCCACTAGCAATAAACTTCAGCTCTCCCCTGCACTCAATATATTCAATTATCTACCTACCATTTACACTTGGATGTGTAAGCTTATCTTTTAATGTGGCCAAAAGAGAACTCTTATTCTCTTCACCAGCAAAAACAAACAATATATAATAAAACCCACCCCTCTAGTAACTTTGATTTTTTGTTAATGTCACTGTTATTCCTCCGGCTGGTTAGGCTATGTTATTTGAATCACCTTTGACTCTTGTCTTTCTCTTAACAAATCCTGGCATTTTTGCTTTCTCTCACACATCTTCCAACAGCATATCCTATTATTTCTATATTTAGAATAGGTCACAGACTAATTCCACGACTCATGAGTTCTACTATTACCACTCTGGTCCAGGCTACCACCTCTCTCACCAAACCTAATGCCTTTACCATATATTTATAGATAGTATGAAACTTACTGTCCTCAAAATTGATCTACTAATAGCTGATTAATGAAACATGCATAGCCCAGTAACAGTCCCCAATATATAAAAGAGAATTTAATCTATGAAAGAAGAAATACAAAAAATAATGTGAAATGACATGCTTTCATCAGCAGTATTCTATAATTGGCCATTTAGGAAATATGACTATATAATAATTTTCATAAATACTGATAGACAATGTCTTTTGGGCACTTAGTAGGCAGTGTACTAAGTGCGCCCTTCACCTGTACTATGAAGAAACACAGATTTAGAAGAGCTCTATGACCTGATTTCAGGGAAGGAAGGCTAGTCATGAAAATATCAAGTACTAAGTAGACAGGTTGATCAAATTAACTAACACAGTGTTAGTTAAATACTTTTCTAAAAGGTAGGTAAACAACAGATTCTGTGAAGGTAATAGCAGAAGCATTGTTCTTTAAATCTTCCCCAACTCCCAATAAAGCAGACCAATTTTATAGCAAATTAAGACTCACAGGCATCATTATAACAGAATTAAGTGATAGAACGTTCCCCTAAGCCCCAAAAAATAAGTGGGACAAATCACCAAAATTTATAAGCTCAGTGTGGAATTAGCTTCTAGACGGAGGAAGCAGAAGGAAGCATTGTGGCTGTTTGACCTGAGAACAGAAACACTTCCAAGATAATATGCAGTCATTGGAAAGAGTAGGAGGCCAATCTCAGCAAAAAGGGTGACACTGAGGGGTCAGGTGAAGGCCTAGGACAGGTGAACGCAGAGGGTTCATACTAAGATCTGAACAGACAACCCCTAGGAATTCTGAAAAGTGACTAACCATTGCTCCCTTTCATGGTGATTAGAATCAAAATTGGAGCAGTGCTAGAAAAGTGGATACTTGAACAAAAGTGGAGGAGAGAAAACCGACACTGAAAGCCATCGTAAAACCAGGATTGTAAAAACTCAAAAATGAGAGGCAATGGAAAGAATTGGAAAATGAGGGAAATTAACTGAACTTCAAATAGACGGTCTAACCAATGTGCATGTGTGAAGGGGGAAAAGGTGTGGAAGGGCACTGATGCCTTGAATGGTTAATGCTTTCCAAAGTGTTTGTGTTGTATTAATTCACTAACACACATATTTATTTTTGCACTTGTTTTATTTCATAATTAAAGGTTATGAAATGCAACAGAACAATCAACTGGCAACTACTTGCAAAAAGTGAGAAAAAAATACTTTTAAAATTTCACACAAATTAATAAGGAAATCCTAAAAAGTCAATTTAGAACTGCAGAGGACATAGGGGCCTCCCTGGTGGCTTAGAAGTTAAAGACATAGTGCTATCAAGCTGTCACCAGCCACTGCAGCATGAGTTTGATCCTCAGCCAGGGAGCTGACCCACATGGCACAGCAGACCTCTCCTGCCTCGCCCACTGCTCCCTCCGCAGTGTGTTTCAGATCTGTCCTGCTCCCCACTCTGGTGAATACTCTTACATCCCGCACCTCTGGCTTACACTCCAGTTTTTGTATGCATAAATAATCTTAAAATTTTTTTAAAAGAACTGCAAAGGACATATGCTATTTGTATATATTCAAAAGTTAATAAATATAAAAAAAATTAAGCTTCACTAAAATATTCCTTGAAAGATAGCTTTTGGGAAGAGGACAGAGAAAAGAAATTCTACATTAGATCTATGTATAACTTTTAGTGTAAGATATAACCTAAAGTCTGTTTTAGGAAAAATTAGGATGGGGGAGTACAATAGAACCTACAATAAATGCCCCTTAATGACGGTAGGTTTTTCTGTTATATGATCCCAAGGTAAATGTGGTACAAAATCATTTTCTGTTGAAATAACCAGGCATGTTATAATATGAAAGTGTTTATGATTAATTACACTGAATGTATTTTATACTTCACAGTGAGAGACCTACCACCAATTTGTCTTGATGTTAGACAAAAACAGCGCCTCTCTTTAGATGCATTATCATCTGAAATGAAGGCCCCAGTTCTTCCCGAACCTATCCTTCCTACCCAGTCCAAAACAATGAAAGACTTTCAGTAAGTTTCAGTCATTATTACATGTACATGTGGTCATGTGTATGTCAGTACTTTGTATAATTAAAGATATTTGTATAAGAAATTGATTAAACTGTGGATCATTTATAAGACATTAGCCAAGAGTGAAAACACTGAAGACTAGATGTCTTGAGTAGAAGGTGAAAACAAATTTATAAATAATAGTAAAGGGTAAGTAATGTTTAAGCAGAAGAAACACCAAATAAGAGCGCATATGTCAAAACAAGCAAAAGGCAGAAAGTTTGTATAATAGAATGTTTTCTCTTTAAAAAATAAGATGTCATCTACTATGTGACACATAAACTGAATAAGCTGTCACCACTTTAAAAAATGTAAATGTTTACCTGAAGAAGTGAGTGAAAAGTGAGAAAGGAGAAACAGAATGTAAACAAAATCTCAAGAAGTTTGGTTAAAAGAAGACTTAGTTGGAAAAAACATGTCAACAATAAACTTTGAAAAAGCAGTAAGTGGGAAAATTGAAGTTAGGTTAATATTGGAATTATAAATTCATAAACTATTTAAGTGAATCTGTTTAATTGGAACATACTATGTATTTAGCTTTAGTATTCCAAATTGCATGTTTGGTGACATTTATTTGTAAAAATAGTAAAGCTATTTTATCTGAATAAGATTTCTATTTAGTATGGTTAATGTATCTTTCTATTTTAGGGAAGATGTAGAAAAAGTTAAGACATCAGGAGATTGGAAAGCAGTACATGATTTTTATCTAACAACATTTGATTCTTTCTCAGAACTAAATGCAGCATTTAAGGTAATAATACATACACCATACTTTTCACTTTTGATTTCAAATTTAATATTTAATTAATATAAATTTCCCTCTTTTTTCTACCTAATATTGACTTAAATCACTGTTTAAATGTAAATACATGTTACTATCTGAAATTATACATATAGCAAATAAGTATTACTTTACTTGGTTAATTGCCTTAAAGATTTTTATTTGTACCAATGTTAATGTTGTCTTCTTTCAGTTTTAAAAAGATATTTAAATAATCCATAATTTTTACTTTCATTTTAAGCACTTTTGCACTAAAAGTTCTTTTTTTCATCACATTAAAAAGTATTAGAAATCATGAAGGAATAGTTATGTTTCAAATAGTACTAAGAATACAGTCAGCCCTATGTATCCACCAAAAATATGTACTGTGTAGTGAGGCATATGATGGTTGTGTCTGTGCTGAACATCTACACACTTTTGTCATTGTTCTATAACCAATACAGTATAACAACTCTGTAGTATTTCTATTGTATTTGGTATTATAACTAATCCACAGATAATTTAAAATATACAGGAAACTGTATATATAGGTTGTATGCAAATACTATGCAATTTATATAAGATATTTGAACAGCCACAGATGTAGTATCTGTGAGTGCCTGAAACCAACAGTGAGCAGATGACTTGGTCCTTAAAATGTTATATACAATTAATTCTTTAATTGAATTTGCAGAAAGATGCCATCACTTCATTTAATACCATAGAAGACTCTGGGATTAATGCTAAGTTTGTGAATGTTGTATATGATGCATTACTTAATACTGTAAGTATTCTTTATGAACACAAATAGTTCAATTCTTTATCTCTTCTGCATTTCAGAAGCAAACACACTAATATAAAAATAATCTATAAAAATTAATATAATTATATTAGAAACTGATATCACTTTTTTTAAATTGATAAAACTATAGTAAATTTAGTTGGAGTTTTCAGTCATATTTTTGTTTTCTAATTAAATGAGAATTAATCATGAAGTACTTTTGTGTGCCTTCTTTATTGAGAAGAACTTGCTAAAGTAAAATCATTCTTTACTTAGCAGAAGTTTTTTGATTGCATTGGCATGTGCTGAATCTATAAATAAATGGTTCTTAAACTTTTTGCATATCTCAGAATCACAGAAGGATTTGTAAAAATAAAAAATTTCTGACTCAGTAGGAATAAAACCCAAGAATTTCCATTTGTGTTAAGTACCTAGAATACAATGCTACTATGACCCAAGACCCAGATTTTTGAGACTTAAATCTGCTGTCAGCCAATTTGTGAAAAACTTTCAAAACATGAGTATGGTCTGTGCTCCAGTTACCTAGATCTTCTTTAGTTTCTCTTGGTAATTCTTTATAGTTTTCTGATTAAAGGTCTTACACAAACAAATTTCCCCCACTGTTTGAAAGCAAACTATTCCTAGTTGGTATGATTTTGTAGATTAATTTGGGAGATTGGTAACTAATTTAAGTGGAAAAATATTTAAGCAGATGGTGGGGAAAACCTGTCTTATTACATTGATTTCTAGGTAGTATTTTGTGCTATTTTAATTTTCTGATTGTTATAGTATATGGAAATACATAGTGATCTTTAGTTACCTTGCAAAATTCACTCAATTGTAGTAGTTATCTACTGATTTATTTACTTGTATTTTCTTTAAAGACATTCTTGCCATTTGTGGAAAATGAGTTTTATCTCTTATGTATGTATGGATGGATGAATGTAAGAATATTTCCTATTGTACGACTTGTATATTTTTTAACAAAAGAAATAATAGCATAGATCTTTGTCATAACCTCAGTACTCACTATTAAATATATGAAAGGGTACTTAATACTTGTCATCAGAGAAGTGAAAATAACATTATGTATCATTTAACAATTAGTGCAAAAAATTTTTGAATATCTTGCCAAGAATTGGTAATATTGTGGGGTAATTGTAGCTTTCATACATTGATAAGTATACAGAAGTATGACCACCTTGGAAAACTAATTGTCACTCTTTACTAGTCCTTGATCCACAAAATCCACTCCTCAGAACATGTCTCCAGTTTCTTTTGACTTGGAAGGATGTTACTGTTTTATAGACACTATAAAATTTATTCTACAACTTGAGGGAAAATGATAATCAAACAGAAAAAACTATTGAAAATAAATGCCACAATCATACTATTAAAAACTAAGTCAAGGGCCCTCCCTGGTGGCGCAGCAGATTAAAGGATTAAAGCACAGCACTAAGAAGCTAAAGCCACTTTAGCATGAGTTTGATCTCCACCCTGGAGGTGACCCACATGGCACTGCAGACCTCTCCAGACCTGCCTACTGCTCCCCTCAACAGTGTACTTTGACACTGTTCTGCTCCCCACTCTGTCTCTGGTGAATCCTCTCACTGCCCTTGCACCTCTAGCCTGTACCCCAGTTCTGTATACATAAATAAATCTTTAAAAAAAAAAACTAAGCCAAGTAATTTTTATCCATAGTACTTTATATGTCTTAAATCTAAAGATATTTAAAAATATAAATAAATCTTCAACTTAGCCTTTTCTTTCTCTCTCAGTGGTATGGGTTAGCAAATCTGAAACTATTTGTTCAAATAAACATGTGAGTAAATACATTGGTGATGTTCAGAGTCAGGTTTCTCACTTCTAGAGAAGGGGAGGTACAAATACAGAAAGGAAAGACTAAAAATATCCCTGGGTGAAGGCATCATAATGAACTGAGCAATTTTAATAGGTAGGTATTTGATGTTTGTGTGTCGTGTGTGTGTTGTATTGGCACACATGTACTTGCATGCATTCATACCTCTACCCAAGATGTAACCAGCTCAGTAGGTGGATGAACACACAAACTGGTAAGACAATACAACTGTGTATGATTCAGCAAAAAAGAAGAATTGAAAAGACATGGGGAATTTTAAATGCAAATTGTCCAGTGCACAAACCAGTCTGAAAAGGCTACGAACTCTGTGATTTCTACTAATGTAATTTTGGAAAAGGCAAATTTGATATACATAGTAAAAATACTGGACCAAGAGACCAGAGGAGTGAAAAGGTAGAGTACAGAGGATTTTCAGTACAGTGAAAGTTTTCTGTATGATACTACAGTATCATTACATGATGCATACATTTGTCAAAACCCATAGGATTATAACAAAGAGTAAACTTAATACAAACTATGAACTTAGGTATTAAATAATGTTATCAATATTTGTTCAATGATAACATGTATCACATTAAAACAAGATATTAATGAGAAACTGTGTGAGGGTAACTGTACTGTTTTTATGTTAGTCTTAATTTTTCTGTAAAACTAAAACTGCCCTAAGAAACAAAATCTATTACTAACAGAGAAAATGGGGATATAGCATGGGAGGCAGCTTTAAGACAATCACTAAATAGAAGGATTTCAGATAATGGGATTATCAACAATGAGCCTATCTAAAATAACTGGTCAGGTTTAACACCAAATAGAATTTCTACAAGTGGAAAATTATGTTTCTGTATGCAAACAATGAACTAGGAGAGAAAAAAATCATGAAAATACCATTATAATCTCTTCAAAAATAATTAAATCCCTAGGAATAAACTTAACAAAGGAGATGGACCTATACAACAAAAACTATTAAAAGAAAGAGAAGACATAAAGAAATAGAAAAGATATGCCCTGCTCATGATTGGAAGGACTAGGACTGTTATAATAACTGTCTAAAAAGCAATTGTGCAGCACCTATCAAAGTTTCAGTGGCATTCTTCAAAGAATTACCAAGAACATTACTAAAATTTACATGGAACCACAAAAGACCCCAAATAGCCAAAATGATCCTGACCAAAAAAAAAAAAGGTATTACATGCCCAAATTTCAAACTGTAGTACAAAGCTATAGTGATTAAAATAGCATGATATTGTCTAAAACTACAAACACATATTATGCAGTAGGACTGAGAGCCCAAAAATAAATCCACAAATACTGAGATAGACAGTTAATGCAAAACAAGACAGTAGAGCCCAAAGTATACAATGGAGAAAGGAAAGTCTCTTCAGTAAGTGGTGTTGGGAAAACTGAACAACCATATGCAAAAGAATGAAACTAGATTACTGCCTCACAGCACGTCAAAATTTAACTCAAAATGGATTAAATATCTGGATGTAAAATCTGAAAACTCAGGCAAAACATTCCATAACCGTCTTTAACGATATGGCAAGGGAGACAAAAAATAAATTGAACTACACGAAACTAAAAAGCTTCTTCAAAGTGAGGGAAACTATCATTAAAACCTAAAGATACCCTACCAAATGGGAGAAAGTATTTGCATATCACATATCTAATAAGGGGCTACCATTTAATATCTGCAAAGAACCCGTACAACCCCAAGGGGGGAAATAAAAAACTGAGTTACAAAATGTGCAGAGGATTTGAGTAAGTACTTCAAAGACAACATACAGATGGTCAAAAGACACATGAAAAAATGCCCATCATCACTTGTCATCAGGGAAGTGCAAATCAAAGCCACAATGAGATACCAGGTCACATCTCTAAGATTGTCCCATATCAAAAAGATCAGAAATGTGTTGGAGAGGGTGTGAAAAACACCAGTCCAGGGAAGGTGGGGGTTAGAAGACAAAGAGGGGAAGGAACCAATGGACTGTCGTGGAGGAATGTAGGTGCTTTGGTGGTCAGTGTGCTATGGTAATATATCCTTACAGAGGTGTAAACTATACCTCTAAAATCTAGTATGGCATTGTCAGCCAACATTACTGCAGTACAAGATGTTCAATAAAAAAAAAAAAAAAAAAAAAAATCATTTTGGCTCTCCCTGGTCGAACAGTGGGTTAAAGCATCGCATAATGAACCTCTGTGATAGCACTGCATCAAGTTCAATCCCCAGCAAGGGAGCTGACTCACAAGGCGTGGCAGACTCTCCTGACCCGCCTGCTGCTCCCCTCAGCAGTGTACTTTGTCAATCTGCCTGTTCTGCTCTCCACTCTGTCTCTGGTGAATCCTCTCACCTACCAGACCACTGGCCTGTACCCCAGTTCTGTAAGCATAAATAAATCTTTTTTTAAAAAAAGATCATTTTATAGTGTTAAACATGCTTCTCTTGGTCTGTGTTCATGACTTTATCCTGTTTCAATCCAGGAAAATTGAGGTTGTTTTTCATCTATGTCAACTGCTAGTGGTCATCAAAGGGCCACCAACTAATTTTGCACGTTTTATATTGTACATTACCAGAGAGCATTCTGATTGTTAATCTTTTGTCACTGGCATTCCCTAGGACTATGAGACTATTACCACAAGTTTCAGTCCTCGGTCATCAATTTTGTTTAAATATTGAAACAATTTTTGAAACATCTGTAAATATATAAAAAACACCTACTTTACTAACCCTAATTATCTAGTAACTTTCTTTTTGCTTACAGCCTCAAGATATTCAGAAGACAGTATTAAAGGGAATCATTAATAGCCTGTTGCGAGAATGGAAAGGGTAATTATAACTAATATTTAGCTAACCAGTACTGATGGTTAATTTACACATCCCATAAACCTTGAATGTATATGTGTATTTTACTTTCAGGAAAGGTTTAATATGTGTATTTTACTTTCGGGAAAGGTTCAAATTAAACTATTATATAAAGTTTTGTTATAATTATCAGGAGGATCCATAGGTGGGCTTCAGAGGCTCTACAAATGCTTTAAAATTTTAAATAAAATTTGTGTGTCAGATATATGTATTTTACAAAAATGGAATTTGTACTATTACCTTTAACCTGGAATGAAATGACATGGGCATATAATTTAACCTTGGACTTCCTGAGAGCCATGGCAAATTTTTTCATATAACTAGTATAAGAAATGTAAGCTTAGCTGCTGAGATACATTTTCTTGAAATTAAATATTGAAATGGTTTTTATATAAGGAATGGATGTATAATGTAATTGATATTTTGCACTATGAATCTGAAGAATGCACAAAAATGTTCATTTAAAAGTACATTATTATTTATGTTGATAATATTTAAGTTGCATAATTCAAATAAGTTTTTAATTCCCAACACCATTAATTAAAATTCAAGTGTTTTTACTGTTTTTAATATCAAAATGGAATTCTTAATGTAATATTAAAGTACCCTATGTATTTTAATAGCACTGTTCTGATTTTCAAAGAAATTCATTATTTTTATGGAAAATTTAGAAAAGGCAGAATAGTATAAAATGTTAACATTTTGAAGTTTTTTTTTCTAGTTGCCTTTTTGGAATAATTAAAAAATTATACTTCCCCAATTCATGCTAGTAATAAATTTTCATTTTCCTTAAGCCATAGTTCAATGTGCATAGTGTTCTAGCATATGAATGTACCTAATCACTGACCAGGGGCTCATTAGTAAGGTTGTTTCTGTGGCTGATACCAGATTCCATCACAGTCACTGAGAGCAGACTGAGATGTCATTAATACCAATCATACTGTCATCACATTTTGCCCCCTCTTTTCCTCACAAGTAAAATAATTATTTTGCATGAATATTTTATTTTTTTCATTCCTACCTGACTTGAATTTTATATTTCTGGCTGAACATAGTGGTTCTTTAAATATGAAGAAAATTTTCAGAAGATAGAATTCTTAAGGAATGAGGGGGCTGAGTCACTTGAAACCACTGTATCTCAGTCCTCTCTAATCACACTCTCAAAATTGTCTAATCCTGCTCCTCCAAAATATACCTGCAACCAAGTAAAGTAATATAGTTCATCTATCATACTGTTTTATTTTAGATTTATTATAATAGGAACAAAATCTCAATTATTGTCGATTTATTATAGGCAAGGCATCTAATAATATTACATGTATTTCTCACTGACACTTCAATACAATACAAAGAAGATGTTGGGGCTTGCCTGTCTTTGACTGATTTTCTAATGGCTCATTTAGCACTTTCAATATTGTTTTTGTAGAAGTCCTCTACTTCTGTATCCTTTATATATTCCTAGGACTTCTGTTCTTTTGTTTTGCTTTTCTGGCTTTCGCTAGGTTTTCCTTGCTTCCTAGGCATGTGTGTTACCTTGCTTGCTTTTTCATAATTGGGATGCTCCAGATTTTGTTTTGTTTCTCTTCTTTGTTTATCCTGACATGAGATGGTGCATGAAAGGAAACTGGAACTTACATCCTCATTCCTCAGTCTTGGTTAAGAGTAGGCTAGCTCTCTTCTCTCTCTTCCCAGCATGCTTCATTCAGTGCTTCAGTGGTTCCAGCTTCCATCTCTGCCTCTGATGCTCTTTGATACCTTGGGTCTGCTCCCTCCAAACTTGAATCTCCTAGCAAGTGCACCACAGGGCTCAAGCTCCAGGACTCATTTAGCCCCGCAGGGCAGGCAGGGATGCACGCAAGCTGGCTAAGCAATGGCTATAGGCAAAGGTCACCACTGCAGCTACCCACTGCAGCTGCCTCATGCATAAGGAACACAAGTGTGTGCCCACTTGATTCTTCACATGGGAGTGGCAAGATCACTCTCTCAGTTGTTTGTCCCTCTGCTATTGGGTTTGCGACTGGGCCTGGCAGGGTTCCCCCTGAAGGCTTTGTTCATTACGTCAGTTTGGGGCTGGGCAAAGCTTTCCTTGTCCAAACCAGCTACAGAATTCTTAGTGATCTAGACCAGACCTGCACCCACACACAACTGCATACCTCTTCTGAAAAACCCCTCCAGGGAAATTCAGCATTCTCTGGTATACCCTTTTGGGCCATGGGTCTGAGCCCCACATGTTTAGCAGATGACTTATCTATTAACACCTTGCTGGCCATGTTCCTATTTACCTCCTCCCCTTCCTTCCCTCCAACAGTGCAAGTCCTCCATGGAAAAGTCTTCTGATTCTCTCAGGGTATTTCAAAGTCTTCCTTTGAGGAAATTTTTTTATACTTGTTTTTTAGGGGAGAAGTTAATCCCAACCTCTCTATTCTGCCATGATGTCAGGAAACATTTCTTGGATGAGTAATTCCTAACTCAGCTTTTAGGCATTTTTTAAGAAGCAGCGTAGAGTAGGCACAGAGGGATCTATAGTCCCAGCACTTTATGGACATGTTACTAACTCAGTAGTAATGCATAATCATCTAAGTCTAGGTTCTGATGTTGTCATTGTTGTTGTGTGCTGTAAGATTAAACATTGATCTATAACCCATTGTTTCTTTTTCAGTCCACGAACAAAAGATGATCTTAGAGCATATTTTATACTATTACAGGTAAGATAGCAAGAATTTAGTTGAAGTTGTCTAGATCAGATCTCAATCTTGTATGTATAATTGAAATGAAATCAAGTACTAAGTATTATTTTAAGCAACATCTTGATACTTTTAGAGTAAAATTAATTGTAACCAGAGAATTAAAGTTATAACAAATAATGGGAAGCTGAATAGCTACAGGATATTTTAATTTAGTTCTTATTTAGTCCTGCCTTCCTGCTGCATTATTCAAGAACAAATAACAGAATTTCTTCTCTATTCAGTCTTCCTTTTTATAATTAATTTTAATTGTATATAAAACTTTACTTCCCAATTTAGTAGGTTCCTAACTTCTCTACATATTTGCCATAATATATAAGTTAGAATTCTAATGAAAAAATAAAATTGGTAGTTTTTATTTGCTAAAAAGTAAAGATGAATTTTTACTCTTTAGAGACATAGTTTTACAGATACAGAAAATAAGGTAAGGTCCAGATAAATAAAATAAAAATTAAGTTTTAGTGGGCCCTCCCTGGTGGCGCAGCGGGTTAAAGCACAGCACTGAGAATCTAAAGCCGCTTCCGCGTGAGTTCGATTCCCGCCTGCCCCGGAGGTGACCACAGGGCGTGGCAGACCTCTCCTGGTCCGCCCGCTGCTCCCCTCAGCAGTGTGCTTCGTCGATCTGCCTGTTCTGCTCCCCATTCTGTCTCTGGTGAAGCCTCTCACCACCCCTGAGCCTCTGGCCTGTACCCCAGTTCTGTATGAACAAATAAATAAATCTTTAAAAAAAAAAGTTTTAGTTTTAAATATTTTTTAAGAAAGAAATGTTATAACTATAGCTAACATGCTGTATTTGTATTATTCACTACAGTTTACAAAGTGTGTGTATTTCCTCTTGAGCCATCACTAGAGTGCAGATGAGGAAACTGATCAGCAAAGTTTAGGGATGATGCCTAAAGGCTATAAGCATAGCTAATACTTTAGTACAGTAGCATAGCATAGAAGTAGAATTAGCCCTCAGACTCAAATTCATCTTAATGCCAAAGTCACAGTTACTTCCAGTGTAGAAATCCACAGCAAAAATAAAGTTTTTGCTAATGAATGAATCAAATGAGATTATGCTTTAATGGATTTCACGATCACAAATTTAGTTTCCTAACTTTGCTAATTAACTTACTAAGCTTAGTGCTTTCCCTTTTATGTGTTAAAATTTTAACAAAATTATCTTGACTGTCTTTTTCAGAATCCTCAGTTTAATAACACATCTACGTATGTCATCTATGCTCACTTGCTACGACAAATAACTACCTTAGTGGAAGCTGACCATCATTTCCTAGTCCACTGGTTTAAAAAGTAAATCATTCTATATTTAGAATTTTTATAATCTTATAGTTTTAAGTTTGATACTAACAATTTTATAATAAAATTGGTAAGATGTTTTAGGTCTATAAAAAGAGTAATTTTTAAATCTATTTTTCATGTAAGTAGCCATTTGGCTTATGTGAGCTGTTGTTGAGATTTCAATCTACTGCTTCACTGCATTCATATCATTGGTCTTTTTTATCTCTCTAACATGACAACTGGAGTTACTCAGACACTGCTGTTTTAATTTGTTATCTTCTTATTTCTTATCTGTACATGAAATCTCACCATTATTTATGTGGTAACTTTTCTATATGTAAAAAGTCTGTAAAATATAGGATAGCCATCAATATCAATTTATAAAAATACAGTACTTTCTCACAGAATTATATTTCTGTTAACAACTACTTCATGATTAATAACAAGAGGCAGACTACTTCCAAAATTAATTTTAAGTACACTGATTCTCATTGCTTGCAATAGTTATGTTCAATGAAGTTGCTGTGAACACTGAGCCTTTGCGCCTATGGGAATTACAGGGTTAAGTTCCTGGAAGCCTGTGATCACATTTTCATCAACTGATTACTATGTAAACGTGTTTTTTCTGTATTTAGAGACATGTTATTTAATATAAATATTTGTTCATTAACATTGACCTCACAACCTACTGTACTATAATTCATGTCTGAGTGAATTTTACCAACTACATTTATTCTCCACAAGGCATATCACATCTTCTTGTATTTAGCCACTAGCAGAACTTGAGCACTCTATTTAGGAGGCATTTTTAAATAGTAATCACTAGCAAAAAGCACTCAATATTGAAAAACATCACACTAAATAGACAACAAAAGGACACTTCTTTACAGTATGAAACAAAGACAGCATCACTTTGTTCTACCTCAGCTGGGAATGTGCACAGAAAGCAACTCATATTTTTGACACTCTTTGTATATCTGCAGATGACCTTGAAAGTGCTGCACTGTTTGAGGAGTTACAATTAAATTTTGCAAATAAATGAATTTTGTCGAGCCCATGAGTAATGAGAATTGACTTGACTTCTTAGTCTTAAAAATGTTTAATACTAACTTTACAGTCATTTTGGCGCATATTTCTTATTTAATTAAGAAAGTATTTGCATTTTTCAGGTATTTAATGATTTATGAATAGAATTTGAGGATACATCCTAAAACTATGTATATAGGATAAAGTTTGATAACAACTATATTGCCAAAATGAGAATTTTGAATGGAATTATTTCAAAATTTTTACCAGATTATCCCAGAAGAGGTTCAAACAATTGGTAGAAAGATTGCTGCAATTTATTTCTTTACGTCTGTTTCCTGCAAAGCCTGAAGAATTTCCACCTATCACCAAGTGCTCCTGGTGGATCCCATCAGCATCAAAAGTGCTGGCTTTACTTAGTAGGTTTTTTTAAGTTACCACCTTTTCTTTTGTTAAACGTAAGAACATACTTGTAAAAATCTTGAAGTACTACATAGGCATTCTTCCGTTTTTACCATTCCTTAGAAGTAAAGAGTTGTAGTTTTGTTCTGGTAATAATTTCACAACTTCTAAGCATTAAAATGTTTCATTGGTCAGTATTCTAGATGTTGCCACCAACTGCACATGACCTTCTAAGTAGTGATCCTAAGACTCTACAAGCCCCATTCATTCCTGAGCAGCACCAGGAGAAAAGGCTGCAGGGGGCTGCTCTCTGCCCACTCCTTTGACTAGGGTGTTATGATCCCCACCAACTTCTTTTATTTTTTATGCAAGTAATTACTAGGCACAATATGACCGCAATTTTAGACTTTTTTATTTGTAGCTATAATTGCTTATTTTAAGATTATTTATATAGAAACTATATGTGATGAATACTAAAATGTTCTTCAAGTGAATCATGCGTGTATTAGAAAAGATCATCATGTTAGAATTTATCTTTGCAGATACTGCAAACAATTTGGTTCATCCTTCCCTTATTCCTTATACCGATTTCTATAATTCTACATTGGATCACATTGATCTCATGGAAGAATACCATACGTGGCAGAGCTTTGGAAACTCTCACAGGTACAATCAGAATTTCATTTGATTTGAATGAACTAATATTTAAAATAATGATTGGATTTTAAGTCTGTATGAATAAAGTTAGATATATACATACCTTTATGTAAAACTTATAATTTAGACATCAGGCTTGAAATATTCTCTTTAAGCATTTTTATTACATTTTGAATTTATACATTTGTTAATTTGGGGGGGTGTGATAGCGTTTTTTTAAGGGAAAGTTTCCATCTTAGTATGCAGTCTCTTGTATCTTCTTAGTCTGTATTCTGTCCCACAAAGAAGTCTCCAGATTTTTCTGTAAAGTAATAGATGGTAAAAGTTTTTGGCTCTTTGGACTATGCAAACCTATAGTCTTACAAACCCTTATATTGTTTTTGTAGGTGAATGTACTAAAACCTTTATCTGCAAATGCAGGAGGGAGACCATATTGTCCCATGAGCCATTGTTTGCTCGTGTCAAATCTAACACAGTGACCACACATGTGTGCACATATTCAATCACTCCTTTTTTCCTCTGCCTGTTACCTACACTACAAAAAGAGCAGATGTTGTAGAGAAAGGACTTCACAAATTATTTACTACAGTCATGTAATCGATTTTGAAAACACCTAATCAAATCCTTTAGTACATTGTACCTTACATCTAAATTTAAAGTTTGGATTAACCTAGCTACCCACCTCAAACAAAATATATTCTCAGATCATGACATACCCAGATCATTTAAAGGAAATGGTATAGGTGATATGAGCACAAGTAGCCTCGGGATCCCAGGTAATTTTACAAATTGACTCAACCTTTCAGGGATCCTTTCTACTAGAAATGGCCTAAAATGTAGAATGGCTTACTGGACATGTCATATTTCATATCCAAGCACTCAGAACTGATTAAGAATGCGTTCCTGAGACTGGTCAGTCTTAACAGGTATTTTCTTAGTCAAGTTTACTTTACATTTTTCCCCCACTTTAATTAATATGTAGCCAAAACAGAACAACTCCAAGAGAAATTGTGTTTATTTCATTGACAATTTTTAATACAAAACTTCTCTACCTATAGCATAGCATTGGTACCAAGAATGATTTAGAAAGGAATTCTGACCGATAGTCCTTTTGCTGTTGGGAAGCCAGCCTGGACTTGGCATAGGACCTGGGGCCCTAGGGCAAACTAGCTCTGGGCACGAGCCACCTCATCTGTGCATCTCAGTGTGTGTCATACACGTAGTATGTTTGTGGGCCATGCCTGGGCGGAGCTGAGATGCACTGACATCAAGTACAGAAAAAGATTCACACACACACCCTACTAAATTAATTGCTCTTTTCATTTCCAAATTTTCAGTTAGCAGTGAGTGAATGGAAAATATTACACATTGGTACTGAACATCTTACTGATTTTTAGCAGTTTCATTCCAAGGATAAAGTCATTTCACGCTCAGCTCACACCAGGGCTATCTTGTTTAATCTCCTCAAATAATGTCTTCACTGTATCATGGTCACAGATGTGCTGTTTGACTATACTGAATTCCAATGATAACTGATGGGTTCATTGTTCTCACTCCTGAAGGGAGTCTAAATCCTGACCAGTCATTGCTGCCATAATAGTTCTCTCTCAATGAATTCTCCCTTAGTTTCTGACTTTTTAAATGTAGCACCGAATGAGTTCTGACCCAGGATATAAGTTACTTTCATGACCTCTGATCATAATGTCCTTAACAAATACATACCCCTTCATATTACTGCACCATTAAGTTTTAACAGCAGCATACTTTTTTCCTTTTTATTGATCTTAAATTTATTACTTCACTTTTTTTTACTGCTGTAATTATTGACAATTTTCTCAAGCTCAAACCTCAAAAATATTCATATAATAATAGATTCTTACTTTAATTTCTGCACATGAATTTTTTGTCCTAATTCTTTATCAACCCTTCCACCTCCTGGTTCTGGTATTGGTCATATTTTTTTCATAGGTAATATATACAGGTGACTATACATAAACTGAAACTATTTGTCTAACCAACGTAAATAACTAGCACATATCTCAGAACATCATACGTAGTTTCCTCTAGAGATTAAAGGCACTGAACACCTAGTAATGATACATACTTCATAGGGCTGTGGGGATTAAAGGAAATAAGGTACCTAAAATCATTTTGTAAATGGTAAAACACAATATAAAAGTAATGCTTTGTGTCATTAGAAGGAGACCTTAGGTTGCCTTGGTTTAATTTCACTAAAAATGTATCTTTTTTGCTTTTTCTGTTTTTACTTGTTAAGCAGGTTTTCCTTCTGTCAGTACCCCTTCGTTATCTCTATAACTGCAAAAAAAATCATTATTCAAAGAGACTCAGAACAACAGATGATAAGCATCGCAAGGGTAAGCCAGCTATGAAAACATGTTTATGCTGATATAATCAATATAGTTAATAATTTAATAAGTCAAATATCTTGTAAGTTTTTCTAATATAATCATGAAATGTTAAAAGAAAATACATATTATACTTCCCTAAGCATGCTTAAACCTGCCCATGACATGGGGAAATATAACCCTTATCATTTTTAAATTATATTATAAATATTTAAGGAAGATTAAATGCCTCTCACAGATCCATATACTTGGAATTTGCTGGTTATCTTTTGTAGATCCCATATTCCAGATTAATTCCAAAATTCCAGTAGAATTTTGGCAAAAACTACTGCGATAACAAGGAGTATCCTTATGAGTAATACACCTAACCACTGCAATGTTAGTCTAAGTTTTATAAAAATCAAATAGAAAGAACCAAACTTTATAAGCTAGAACAAAAGTTATAATCCCGGGAAAATGAGAAATAGTCTAAAGAAGGTAAAAGATGATTACTGATTCTTAAGAATCCAAAATACCTGGAGGCCATAGAAACTGGATAACAGGCAGACATAAGGCAAGTCAGGGAGCAGGAAGAAGTTTATCTCCGGGCTTCAGCATAAAACTACATATTTTAAGCTACCAGATTATGATCATTTTTTAAAAAGCAGAGCTCTATACTAACGCTCACATTAAAGTATCTGCTTTTGCGACATGATTACTCAGAACATAAAAAATTGAGGGACAACTGTTTCGGTCTCCTTAAATAAGACCTATAATAGAAGAAAAATAAATTTTTTCCATGTCTTATCCAAGAATACAAAAGGAATCCTAAAACATAAAGCATAATACTTCAAAACATTGTAAAAATAAAATTGTTCATTCTTTAGTAATTCAGTTCCCAGAGGGTATTTTCTTTTATAACAGGAAGACAAAAGATTAGAATGGTAGGAGACATCCCAGAGCCAGCTTACACTGAATATGGAAATACCAGAAGGTATTTATTGCCTGTGTGTGTCAAGGCCATTCCATAGCCAAGAGTAAAGTTTGTGGAATTATCTGTTCTTGTGGGTATGTCCCAGCATTTTAACTTGATAGTTACTATACCACTTGGAATTAATGACTGTTTACTATTTTGACACAAGGACAACCAGGTAGTTACTATAATCAAGAATTTTCATGGTATAATGTACGTTATACCATCAACACTGCAAAAGAGATTCCTTAATCTAAAAATAATTTTCTCATCAGACTGAATCTGAAACTTTTCAATTGCTGAGTTCTTTTATTTGAAGCATTTTCTACTAGATGTGAATTACCAATAGAATCACAGTAAGCAAGCAGCCAGTAAGGCTTATTTGGGCCTTAAAATTTTATCTGCTAAAGCAAATTGCTGCTTATGTATTGAAAATGACTAAAATGTTCATCTTTTATGTAAACAATAATTTTGATAAATTGAATGTACAAAAATGTGGAGTTTATAGTTGATACATATTATTCACATTTTAATGTGTTTTTATACTTTTTTTATATTTTGAAGAGATGTAAAATAACATTTTTAACCACCCATATTACCATTACTCATAAATATTATTAACGTGCTCCTAAAGCTTCTTTTGATGTTTTTCTGTTATTTTTCAAAGGCAAAAGTATTACAAACAGAATTTAGTTCCTTGCTATTTATAGCTGTACCTTCCTTAAATATTTTTCATGTTATTTATATAGTTTTTAATCAACATTTTGATAGCTGTGGTATATTCCATTTCTAACTTTTCTTTCATAGCTAATGTTGTGATGCTCACCTTACCTATAAAAAATAATTAGTGTATAGAATTGCTAGACATGGAATTACTGGGACAGAATATGTAAATATTGTTAAGGTTTCTGTGAAGTGTTTAACAAAGTACTTTGTAAAAGTAGACAAACTGTTACTAGAGTAAATTCATTATCTAAGGAAGCTTAAGCCAACTTTATCATCAGAAATGCATGCCTTATTTCAAATGTTTCCATTTTATATTTGTATATATTAAACAGAAATAAACCAAAAATTACTATTTAAGAAATGAGACATGGAAAATGTGATACAACTTTCTTTACTATAAAAGGTGAATTATTTTTGGTTCTCCATTTCTGACCCCTTTCAGTTTCACTGTTCCAAATTAAATAATAAGGCATTTTCATAAATCAGATGTGTTTAACTGACTATCAGTTGTTTATATCAAATGTTTTAAGTGAAATTGTAGTCTAAAAAAAGTTAAAGTATTTGCTTTCTTTTTTAATTAGCAAAGTCTGGTGGATAAAGTATCTCGAAGACAAAGACCTGATATGAATATGCTGTTTCTAAATATGAAAGTAAGACGGACACATCTGGTTAGCGATTCACTTGATGAGGTATAGATCATTTATTCTAAAATGATATTAGTTAAAACTTTAGTAAATCTACAGTGTGGCTTATTACGCAAATCTCAGGAAGATGTTTTGTGTTTCTCTATGCCACTAAGTATGCTCCCTTATATTTTGATACCATAATCTGCTCTTTATCTGCACTTAAGCCTTATGTTCATTTTTTTATATGCTTATTAATAGTTTGTGGTTAATTCTCCAAAAAGAATTTTATATAGAACACTGCAATGAGTATTTCAAGTTCCTGAACATGTAACCTGGATTCTAGACCTAACTTTGTTAACGGTTAGCAGTGTAACAAGGCATTTTATCTTCCCAGGCCTCAGATGACTCAGGTACAGAGGTCTGACCTAAGGAGTACATTGTTTTGGGTCTGTCCAGGCTCACATAGACTTTGATTGTATGTTCCCTATTACAGAGCTACATGTGTGTACAAGCCTTCACCTATCAAAAAATGTTGGTTGACTAGTGGGGATTTCTTAAAGTTTAGTATTGAACAAAAGTTAAAGTAAATTATTTTATATTGCAATCTGCTTAGTTAAAAACTTGGAGGAAATATACCAGAAAACAGTATCTTTGGGCAAGGAACCTGATCTTTTAACAAAGCAGACAAAAACAGTAATACCTAGTTTACACAGTATCTAGTGAATGGGTGGGTGCATGCATGGAGTTTTGTCACATTTTAAATAAGGTAAAGACACGTAACACATTTCCCAGAACTGAGAAAATTAATTTCCCTGTTATTCCATTTTTTTCTCCTTTACTATATAATTTCTTCAATTAGTTAACCCGGAAAAGAGCAGACTTGAAAAAGAAGTTAAAAGTTACATTTGTAGGGGAAGCTGGTTTGGATATGGGTGGTTTGACTAAGGAATGGTTCCTGCTGCTAATTCGCCAAATTTTTCATCCAGATTATGGTGAGTTTCTAATTCTTATGAATAACGTTTCTTTATAACTGTCAGTCAGGTAGTCACTTTTATTTTTACCCTTCCCCTATGATTTGACAATTTTTGTCAACAAGTGTTGAGTAACTTTTAACCACTGTTATTTACATCTAAAAAACCAATTTTCAATAATCAAAATGTTTACCATCCTACTGGAATCCTATGTAAAGTACATGTGACAAATATATGAAAATATGTATTTGCAAGGAAATATCCACATCTTTCCTGAGTAAGCCAAATTCATGAAAATTATATTTACCTTTAACATAAAGAACATTCAAAATTAAAAAACAAAACTGTAGTTTGCTCTACACTAATATTTGTAATCCATCTTAATAAAAATTATTTGTTAAGATAAATATAAACCTTTGAAGTTAAATTTGGTTTTATATAGAGAAAACACCTATATAATCCTTATTGTCTGTTAAGTATTTTTCTTAAAAGGAATGTTTTAAGTGTTTTTCTCATTTTTTTAACATATGTTCATATGTCTATATATGTAACCTTATAACAAAAAATAAAGATAACATGGATAAATTGAAATCTCTATGTAATCTTCAAAATTAATACTAATTGCTAATTTATAAATAACACACATTTTTTATTAAAGAAAACCATTTTATCCTTGGTCTCAGGATGATGATGAACAATAAAATACTTTACATATATTTTATGTATTTTAACATGAAGAATAGTTTGTAATAGAACTGTTGATGAAATTTTTTCTTCTAATTGATGCACTGATTGTTTTAATCACTTGTGTTTATGAAATTATGTTTCTTTTTTAGGCATGTTTACATATCACAAGGATTCACATTGCCATTGGTTTAGCAGCTTTAAATGTGATAACTATTCTGAATTCCGATTGGTTGGAATTGTATCCTTTAAACTTTCCACTAGGAGGTGCTAACAGATTAGAGATTTTATTTAATGCTAACAGAATTTTGGAAAGTTCTCATTAAGCCTTCCATTCAAATTGAAATTCTTGTCAAATTTAGTATTAGATTTTCAGTAGCCTTTATTCTTTGCTATATCACAGTTGTGTAACATCAACATTTAACTAATTGAAAGAATGACTCAGTTTATGTTTTGAGAAGTGGAAATGGCTGTTTCCTGTTTCATATATAATTCCAATTGGATGAAATATAAGATACCTTTTTAAATGTCAGAATACCTTTTTCATTCATAATGAAGTATTTTTCTGTGAGTTCTTTTACTTTGTGTTTATTTCACTTAATTACTAAATCACAATTGTGGAGATTAAATCTAGCTCTTTAATATGGCCCCAAATCCCAAGATTACCATAAAAAATAAAAGTTGAATGGAATGGGAGTATCTAATATGATATTATTTTATAGTTTTTTAAAAGTTACTTAAATCCCTTTATTATATTTCAATCCTTATCAGGTATATTGTAGAGGATATTCCCCCAATGGGTAAGAGACTGGATAAGATTCCTACATTAACTTTATAAATTCTAAGAAATTTTTTTGTGTGTGTGGGAGAAATGGAGGAAGAATAAATAAATGAGTAAGCACTGAAGATACGTAGGTTTAAAAGAACTGGAAGCAACCTGGCCTGTAAGACGTTTACCATGTACAGGGTCAGCCCTGATCCCCCAAACCTGACCATTTTAAATAGGTTCTGCCACCAGCTGCATCAAGATAGACATACTCTGGTGTGTAAGACATTCGATGGAAAGAAACTTTAATACAGTTAGTGTACAATAAAGAAAAGGGGAAGAATATTATTTCCAAAGTAAGCACCCAGAGTTACCCATCCTCTCATGGGTAAATGCCAAGCCAAACAAGATTGGCCTCAAGCAGGGCCTCTCAGGCCTGAAAGCCCGCCATAAGTCTAAAGCCCCTTCTGGTAGGTACCCATAGAAAAGGGTCAGAAGCGGCCAGACAAGTCTGGAAGGTAAAAAGCAAAATCAAGATCAACACTGCCACTGTTAACCTCCCCACAGGTCTCTTAGCCACCTGTTTCGACCAGTCCAGGACCAGAAGCAAGTGTGGCTTCTTTATGCCTTTCTCTGTTCCATGTGCCTCCTACATGTCTCCTCTTTGCTCTCCATCCTTTCTCCTTCCTCTCCAGTTTCCTCTCCAGTTTCTCCTCCCCGCTCAGCTCCACCCTCCCTTCGGTGTGGCAGGGACCTGGAAACCCAGAACTGTTTCATTGATATCCAAAGTCATCAGTACTTCTCACTGCACTACATGAGCTATTGGATTTTCCTGATACATCAGTGATTTTCCTGATAAGTCAGTATGTCGTTCTCATCATGGCTTAGATTGGATTTTGACTTTCTAGTATTTGAAATAAAACAATAGTTCTTATTGAGCAATTTCAGTTGTAGAGTGGTATTATACATAAAATCATGAATTGCTAATTATTTTCTTTTACAGTACAATAGACACTAGTTTCTATTCAGTCATTACTCAAAGAACGTATCAAACATATCTGTACTTTGCATATTTCAAGTCAAGCAGTTACATCTAAAATTATTATAGCCACTACTATGTCATTATTATATGTATTTATCTCACACACACAAAAAACATGTAGAAAGTCAGTGACACCCTAAAATGCATGATAATGGACACGGGAAATGTGGGGTTGTAGTAGCTGTGATCATGTAAGTAGTTGAGAGATACACTGAGGTGAGGACTGAAAAGTGAAAAGTAATAAGCATGATGATTCAGAAAATATATTTGGTTTCCTCAAGATCAAATATTTGTTGTCCCAGTAGCTCTGACAATATTATGTTCCTGATACAATTATTTTTAAATGTGGTAAGGCCTAGGAGTTTATAAGAAATGTTATAGTATAACCTATATTAATAATTATAAAATCTTTTGAAGATTACATGAAGAGCCATGATGTAGCAATTTTTTTAAATGGAATTTCCTATGCCAAAAGAGGTTCTAGAACTAAGGCTAGGGGCAATAGAGTATAATGCAGGGTCTTCACATCTGGCTCGGTAGGCACTGACATGGTACCCCAGTGGCTCTGCCAAAACTCCCACTTCCCCCATTCCCACCGCAGCCAGAGCAGGCTAAAATAAAATGACATACTTCTGCATATAAAAGTGTCCTGGAGCAGGGTCCTCCCTGGTGGCACAAAGGGTTAGGACGCAGCACTGCAAGCTAGCTGCATCTGTTTCAGTGTGAGTTCAATCCCCCTCCCCAGAGGTGACCCACATGGTGTGGCAGACCTCTCCTGACCCACCCACTGCACCCCTCAGCAGTGCACTTCGTCGATCTACCTGTTCTGCTCCCCACTCTGTCTCTGGTGAATCTTCTCACTGCCCCTGCACCTCTGGCTTGTACCCAAGTTCTATATGCATAAATAAATAAATAAGCCTTAAAACAATAAAGTGTCTTGGAGCAAATCCTTTGAGCCTCATCTGTTAAAAACCTTCCTTCTGGATTACAATTTAAAAATCTTTAGAAAAAAAATTTAGAGTTTGTTATCCTAATAATGGTCAGGAATGGTAACTAGCGAAGAATTGTGGTTATTATCATTATTAGCTATTGCCATAATTATAGCACCATATCAGAGCTTATTTTCAACATCTGCACCTTGAACACGCTGCTCAGTGTGCTGATGTGGTTACCTACACAAGGCACAGCTATTTATTATTACTAAACTCCATTCTGCCTTCCCAATTTTTAAAATTGTTTTCAAATAATTTTTCGGCCCACATGTTTAGATTTCTTTGAGTCTATAAAATTACTTATTTAACAACTTGATAAGTAATATTTGACAGTTGAAAGATTATGAAATTTCATCTAAAACCCCTCTTTCAGCAAATTTACATGTTATATTGTACCATGTAACTGATAAATTTAACATATAATTGGGTAAAAGTTTATAAACATCTGTAGCCTTTTTTTTTAACACTGTGTAAATGCCATATTTTTAAAGGCCTTTCACATATTACTATAGGAAATTAATTGCCCTGTTCGCTTATCTACTGTGTGTATAACTATATATTTATTTAGTTCTCCCTTTAGGGTCTCTATTTAATCTTAACAAAGCTAAAGTGCATTGCCAAAATCAATAGTGTATTCTGTAGTGAGTTCTGCTGAATAAATTGCCACTGCTACTTATAAAATGCCCAGCATCTTTAGGTTTATAAAATGTGGTTTTATATGTTGAATAATTTATAGAAAAGTATGAAATTACTATCTATTGTGATCTGAAATAAGCTTTTATAGGAAAATCATTAAATACTGCCAGGTAAACACCTCCTTTTAACAAGACTTTTGGTAATCAAGGAATTTGTTATATAAAATAAAGGGAAAATGAAGTATGTGGGACTGATTAGAAAAGCAGTGTTTAATCCAAAAGAAGTATGCAAGAAATAGACTAATGCATAATTCAAAACTCATTTGTTGTCATGGATCTTATGTTAATGCTTAACATTCAGTATGCATAGCTTATGGGACTAGCTGTTTATAACAGCATTACCTTGGATATTCGTTTCCCGCCCTGCTGTTACAAGAAATTACTGAGCCCTCCTGTTGTTCCTAGTGATCAAAATATACCAGTGGGCATCTGCAGTGCTACCACTGATGACTTATGTCAAATTATGCCAGTAAGTATAAAAATCATTAGGATCTTATCCTTTCATGTTAAATCAGCTTTCTTCTACCTGAAGTCTCTGCTTCTAATGCTAGTCTTATTTTAATAAACAGGGTTCCCCTCCACCCTGGTAATCCATCTTCTTTTTCCCCTAGCTTTCTCCTTCCTTTTAGAGACATATCCCCCACGTTGCAGTACACCTGAATGCATACAGTATAGAGTAACTGGCTTTGAAGTCAAGGACATTTGAAGCTGGGGTTTGCCATTTATTAGCTCTATGAACATGGATAAGTTGTTGAATCTTCCTGAGATCTGGTTTCCTTCTGTCAGCAGTTGGGATGGTAAACTTACTTATTGAGGGGATTACATGAGATAGTAGAAATGCTTAATGCTTGACTGCCTCTGTGCATGTTTATTAAAATGATATCATGCAATAACATCACTACAGTACCTGCCACACATCTCTATAATGCCATAGATGAATTTTACTGAACTGTTTCATATAACATTCCTTAGTTCAGATATTAATTTCTGATCGTGTTAAATCAAAGTTAAAATTGAATAGAGAAATGGGTAATATGCACATCTTTCCGACACTCCTCCATATTTTACAGCTGAATTTTGACACCTGTTGACCACTAGGGCATTCTTGCTAATATGTTTAGCAAGCACCTGGATGTAGACATTCTTTGTTGCTCATCATGGGCCTTCTAAACACTTTTTTGGAAAGTGGTTTGGTTTCATTCAATACAGAGCTTAAATCTATATTTTTATGAGATACAGTGGAAATATGACAAGATAGCATGCTCTGATTTAGAAACTGAAAATCTCGCTTCTGTCGTCTTGGATCTGTAATGTATAATACACTAACTATGATCCTACATGATTCACCTGATTTTCTAATCTGTGAAATAATGGGGGTAGACTAACCTGAGTCTAAAGCCTTCAGTTGATAATAAAACAGATCTCAATATATAACTTCATGACTTAATGATTTTATATTCTGCTACTAAAATTTAGTATTTTAAGGTGGTAAGTCCTGTTCCCTGGATTCGCGTACTAGTCCCTGGAATTCTTATAAAGATCATACTTCTCCCAATTATAATTTTCACTATCCATAATTTTTACTAATAATTGAAACAAATGATATCTAGTCTAGCTTAGATTTGCTTAAAATTTTCTGGAGTGAGGGATTTAATGGAGTGAGGGATTTTTATGTAAAGTACATAAAAAATTGTAATTATGCAATTCAGGTTATTTATAAAACCTGAATTTTTTTTAATTGGCTTAATTTTTCTCTTTTTAAATTTTTGTTGAAAGATAACATCAGTTATAATGTAGGAAAATTTCTTCCAGTGTTCCACTCTAACTGAAATGTGCTAATATTTTAGTATTCATCTTTTAAACATATGAACTGTGGGGAGTTTTTGTTTAAAAGATGAATTCTAAAATACTATCATATTTTTAAGCATATAAATTGAAAGTGAGAAATACTACAAATTCATAAATAGTAATGCTGCAGATAGCAGTGAATTTTAATGGAAATTATACACTTAGCAGTGAATTATAATGGCAATTATACTGTGGTAGTTTGGACTGGATATTTTCCCCTTAATGACCTTTTCCAATTAATTTCTTAAAAGATTTTCTCATGGGAGAAATCATTAGCAAGCATTTTATGCCCTAGAAAATACATTTCAACTATTGAATTTATTTCAAAATCTGAATTTCTCTATTCTGTCTCCCATGTAAGTGAACAACAGTAGCTCCACTTAACTATTTTAGGCAATACTTTTTTATTTAAAAACACAGATTACATACTCCTTTTTACAGGAATTGGCCCATGGATTAAGTGAACTCCTATCATACGAAGGCAACGTGGAAGAAGATTTCTATTCAACATTCCAGGTACTCTTCAGGGCAAATAGCTTCCTGTTAACTGTATTTCATATGCAAAATGTACCATTTGTTATAAACATCCCTCTCTCAAAGGTGAGTGAGGAACACCTACCATCCTTACCTTAAAGGATTTTAACCTGATAAAGTGGACCAAGCAGAAGTCATGTGTACATGCACCATAAAAGTTCTTAAACTCACCAAGATTTAGGATACTGTGCTAGGCAGCTAGCCTACTTCCTTGACTCAGTTACCTTCTCAGCGATTTCACTCTCTAAATATAAGCCTTTCCTGTAGCTCAATGCAACACCAGAAATTAGGAATAAAACTTACTGTACCAAACCAAAAAAACTGTCATTATCTGGAGATGGAAATTATAGTAATTCATATAGCCCCAATAGTTGAGTATTATCTAAATGGCCACATTTAAATAATAGTTTTATGAGCATCAATGAAGTATTTTGCTGGAAATAGGGGTGAGTTAGGGCTCTATCTTCTTTTTTCCCACCCTGAAACACTGAATACTGATATCACAAAAGCTTATAGTCTTTTGTAGTTCATGAGGGAAAAAACTTTTTCAACATTACCAACCTAGTCATTGACCATATAGCAGCCATACCAATAAATTACACTGTGTTGGACTCTCCCAGGTTTTTCAAGAAGAATTTGGAATAATTAAGTCCTATAATTTAAAGCCAGGTGGTGATAAAATTCCAGTTACCAATCAAAATAGGAAAGGTAAGTTAAACACAATTTCTTGACCAAATTACATTAGTTTTAACCATATACTTTGACTATTTAACAGCTCTAAAATTACTTTACAGAATATGTACAACTTTACATTGACTTCCTTCTCAACAAATCCATCTATAAGCAGTTTGCTGCATTTTATTATGGATTTCATAGTGTATGTGCTTCAAATGCCCTCATGGTGAGTTTAATAAATTATGCTTGCAACTGCTTTGTAATACTATAATGTTGAAAGTAAGTCCTTCTGTATGTTAGTGGAAAAACTTTCTATTTTGAAATAGAAAATGTTTTCTACTTTCTAAAGGTAGAAATAAAAATAGTTCTCCAATTTCAGCCTTAATTTTCTAAAGGGAAAAATACAGTCAAATCCATTTTTTACCCCCTCTGTTATATCTTACATCTTTTAGGACTTGAAAAAAATTTCCCAAGCAGAGTAGTTAAAGAGACCCCATGGGCTCACAGGCTTAATACAAGGGGCAGAACTCAGAAAATGGCTGATGCAGGCTCCAGGGAAGGCTACTACTACCTCGCGGAAAAAACTGTTTATTTGTTTTACCTATAGGAAGTAGTTCATGTCTAGGGTCCTGAAGGACTCTGTTGGTTTGACTTGTCTTAGCCTTGTGAACATGGGTCAGCTGCTCTTTAAAACACCCTGCTGGAAATATCGTAAGATAAAGACACCATTTTCTAAAGCACCCTTGTTCTTCACCCCCAGCTAACTACAGCCTACATCATGCCACTTGGCTCTCTACTAAGTTTAATTCTGAGGGTTTAGAGATCTTTCACTTGAATGATTTTTTTATACAAGAGAGCTTTATCACACATTCAAAGTACCTTTGAAAATGGAGCGTTTTATTGAACTCCAGTTGAGTTTTGTCTGTGACACTCTGGTAGTTGTAGGTGTGAAGGAAGGAAAGTAAGGATTAAATGGCATATCATGGTCTCTATTTTTAAATTTTAATCTCTGGAGGTGGGAGAAAGCCTATGTAAGTGAAAAAACAAGTGAACTGCACAAGACAGACTGTAATCAAGTACCGAAGCTCAGTGCACACAGAGGGCGCTGGGGGATATGAGAAGGAAGCAGTCAGAGCATAGATGCTGTAGTACCCAAGAGACTTTCAGGCTGGCTTTTGTGGAAGAGAAATATGGATGCAAGCTTAGTCATCTGCTTGTCTTTCTGACTGCTAATTATTATGCAAAAGAGGGAACCTAATAGCTTGATAAAATTTATAAACCTGGGGCCCTCCCTGGTGGCTCAGCGAGTTAAAGCACAGCACTAAGAAGCTAAAACCACTTCAGCATAAGTTCGATTCCCCATGACGTGGCAGACCTCTCCTGCAGCAGAGCACTTCGGCCTTCTCTGCTTCCCACTCTGTCTCTGGTGAATCCTCACCATCCCTGCACCTCTGGCCTGTCCCCCAGTTCTGTATGCATAAATAAATAAGTCTTTAAAAATAAATTTATAAACCTTCAGAGGCAAAAATGTTACCTCACTAGGAAGGTATATATAAATAAATGGAGATTTTTCTTAACACATGCAAGGCTTGATTTAGAAATGGTGATTTCTGCCTTTGAGTCAGTGAAAACAGTTTCAGTTTTACTTTCTAAAGTCATTACTTTTTCTCTATTTGTGTAAATGATTAGCTGCTTCGTCCAGAAGAGGTTGAGATTCTGGTCTGTGGAAGTCCTGAACTGGATATGCATGCACTACAAAGAAGCACTCAGTATGATGGCTATGCAAAAACGGATTTAACTATCAGGTAAGCACATTCTGCTTCTGGGAGGGGAGAGGTTGAAGAGAGAATGAAAGATAGTGGTACATACTTGTGTAACTTAGAATCTTGAAGTAATTGGAGACTATTAAATATGGCATCACTTAGCAATCTCCTTGGGACTTGCTTCGACAAATATAGATACTTCATGTTTTCAAAAAATAACTCTAGAATTTCAGGAATACTGTGCTTAAAATAGCGTTTATAGCACTTAGACTAATATTTTTATAATGTTATCTTTATAATAATGTTAATCACAAATCTAATGTACATAGAGAAACTTGTCACTCCTTAATTTCACATTAAGGGTGTTTTATATATTAAGTGTGAGGAAGTTTTTCCCTAGAGCTTATTTTACATTACTTTATTCTGAGCTATGGGATTTTTGTCAAGACAATTTATGTAAATTCCCTTTGGTATTCTCTAGATATTTTTGGGATGTTGTGCTCGGATTTCCTCTTGATCTTCAAAAGAAGTTGCTACATTTTACTACAGGAAGTGACAGAGTGCCTGTAGGAGGAATGGCAGATTTGAATTTTAAAATCTCAAAGAATGAAACTTCTACAAACTGGTAAATTTCCAGATAGTAATTTTATTTTTTTATCTATAGGCTTTGCTAATAATAATTGAAGTTACAGGATTCATTCACTTTGAAGTCATTTTCATAGAAAGATCTTGGGAATACATATTACCCTGAAATGAGATTAATTATAGCTTAAGTTTCTTTATTAAACTATAGTTTAAGACATTCCTACACTAACTGATAATTCCCTTCAAGGTTTTTACCTTGTTAATTCTTTGTTCTTTTGCGCTGTAACTCTGTCTTAATTGCATATTGCCTTACCTTTGTTTAAAGGTGTTTTTATTAAAAATATTAGGGGAATGTTGGGAGCGCTTTTTGCTACTAGTGCTACAAGTAGTATGGTTAATACTTCAAACCCTCTAGTCCTAGGACTAGGACTAGTCCTACATTTTTTTAATCTGGTGTTCTGCTATGAAAGGAATGATGATGATGGCTTTAAATTAATTATTTAAAATAGTGCTGATCTACTTCTTTTCCCAAAAAGCTGTAATTGCTAACACTAATATGAGTAGACATAACATACATTTTTTCTTCTACCCCATATATTTCTGATTTCTGTCAGATCCTCTCATTTTTAGAACAGGAATCTGTCCTTTTTATTCACTTGTAGTTACTTTTTCCCTTAGAATTCTTAGCTTATCTAAATAGTTTCCTTCCTTTTCTGCCAACTCAGTCTCCCCTTTCTATTTCATCCTATTAAATTCACTTTAAAAACACTGATTTGCTTATCAATTTAAGTACAAGGGTCTAAAGAATATCACATAAAACTTTGTAGACTTCTCCAAACCTACCAGGCATTAGTCAACAGGTTGGTTTGCTATTCCTTAGACACCTTGTGCCTTTCTTCCTCTCCCCATACTTGTAAGCAGTTCTCTTTACATGTTACTCTCTCTGTTCATGAAAATTCTACTCCTCTTTAAAGACCCAATTTAACTTTGTCTTCCTTTGTCAAAAGGTCAAAAGTCATAATTTCCTCACTGAATGCCTCAATAATTAATGGATGTTATGTAACTAATCATTTTATACCTTTTGTTAGTTATTCAGTCCTTCCAGGCAAAGGTCCGGCCTGATATACATTTAGCCAATATATTTGATGCCCAATAAAATGTTCCTTAAGTTAATATACAAGTCAGCATTATATTTAAAACATAAAACATATAGATATAGATATATAAAGGTGAGAGATTTAAAGCCCTAAACTGAAAAAAAATCAAGAGCAGCCTTTTAAGATTACAATTTAAGAGAAATTTGTATTCCAGAATATTTACAAAAATACTGTCAACCTAAAAATATAATATGAAATCATATATTTTCATAAAAAGGTGACAGCCCATCTAGTCTTTTCCTATTATTATTTCAAAGGTTAGTCTGTAAGCTTGAAGGCCTAGGCACTAATCTTAAACAACTAGGATTTCTAGTGGGAAGTTCATATATGTCAAATACAGTTGACTATCAAGCAAAACACTACCTGTAGACCCACTAGATGTTTTTGTTAAATCAGAACATTAGCTCTTTACAGACTAGCAGTAATGGTTTTGCAGTCAGACTGATCTAGGCTTGAGTATCAGATCTCCAGCCCTCCCAGCCACATAGCCTTGACTAGATGACTTAGCCTATGAATTCCCATGTCTATTCTGCCTCATCAGTAAAATGAAAGTAATATTAACAACCACCTTCCAGGCTGTTATTTGAATTGAATGAAATACATAAAAGAACTTAGCATGATGCTTTCTGATTGTTAAATGATGAAGGTTTCAGTAAATTCTGATTCTAATCATAAAGTTTTACAATACAGGAGAATCTCATCATTTGATCCTCTTTTAAGTAAATATTCTCCTTTTCTCAGGGATATGTCCCATTTTTATTCATTGACTTCCCTTACAACTGTTCTGATGCATATACCTTCACAAATGGCCTAAGAGATTTATAGAATTCTTGACTGAAGAAAAAAATGCATCAAATAAGGGGACAGGGAATCTCATCAAAAAGGTTTAAAGGATCCATGTTGTCTGTGCATTGAGGGCAGCAGTGATAAAAATGTGGCTACCAAGTGCCCAGACATGTTTTATTATTTTTTTGACAGTCAAGACTGAAATAATAACGAATATATCATTTACTATTCTGCTGGGTGTTTCATGTTGGTCCTTCTTTCAAGTAACCCAATTGCATACCTAATGCCCTACAATGGCTATGAGGAAACAGGCCTGAAGACATGAATCAACCTGACCAAGATTCCACAGCAAGCAAAGTAGGGGAGGCAATATTCAAATTCTGACATCAAAATAATACCTCTAGAAGGAAGTGTTTTAGGAAAGCAGAGACATTCCCTGTCTTATCTGGAGACCTTGCCCCATTGTCTAGAGTAGTGCCTAATCCACAGTAGGTACACCAAGTATTTGTTCAATGAAAGAATTAAAACGGGACCTCATAGTAAAATAGATTTGAATGTGTGTGTCCTGGTGTTTGGAAGCTGCTTGGCAATAGGTCATCCCCTATGTGTCTTAAGATTTAATCTCTTTTTAAAAAATGTCCCCAGGTTGCCTGTGGCGCACACCTGCTTCAATCAACTTTGCCTCCCCCCCTACAAGAGCAAAAAGGATCTGAAACAGAAACTGATCATCGGAATTTCAAATTCAGAAGGATTTGGACTTGAGTAATCTAAAAGACTTGAAATATATTCTATATGTAGCATTCACTTCCCTCTTATTGTGCCTTTAACCTTTTCATGTTTGTCTCAAAACACCTTGACTAAGCTCACCAACTTTAGAATAATTATTTTTTTTTAAATCAGTTATGAAGTATGGTCAGTGGAAGTGGAGAAGGCATGGTTTTCTAAAAACAGAAATAGCTTAAATAAGGAAAAGACCGGGTTGCATAGTAGGAGTGGGTCCAGTTCCTCTTTTTTATAGGACTTTATCATTTTCCATAAGTAGTTTGTCACAGGTATTCCACTGGAAAAAGTAAGTGTGGTAAAGAGTGCATCAGTGATAGAGTGGCAACACAGCTACATTAGCAACACAGCTACATTAGCATTAATGTAAGGCATGTAGCCATATTTTCATATAGAGGTAAACAACAGTATAATAGCAAATGCAATTCACAGGGTTTTTTGATATACTGGCTTTGGTCCTATAAGATTCTTTTCAACTGTTGCTGAAAAGCATGTAAATAACTACATAATAGCCTGAGAATAATGGGATTTTGATAGTGCCATTTATTGCTAAAGATTTATTTTTACAAAGTAAATTCTGGATTTTAGATGTGTATACAGCTTTTACAAATCAATAAAGATGATTGTACAAGAGTGTAACTATTTTCAGACTAATTGGATTTAAGGTTATATTCTTTTAAGTGTTAGTGTTAGTCTGCATGCACACTGGCAGTAAACTAATTTCTTTCAGTACTCTATATAATATTTGTATGATGATCACTACTTCTTAAGGGTCACAATATTAAAAAGGAAATCAGATCTAACTAATCATTGATAAATCAACTACAAGCACAAAAGAAAACTTTTATATATACTTTGATTGATGTACAAGGCTTAATTTCTAATATTTTTTGACCACCAGTTGTATTGAAACACTAATTTTTGGACAAGACAGAATAAGATATTTGACAAAAGTAAATATAATGATAACATTTGTATAATAAAATGATACAGTGTGGTATAAAAATAAACTCAACATTTTAGCCACAATGTTTGTTTTTCACTGGATTCTGAACCTAGTAAATGCAGAAGTACCCTTTTTGGAGTTTCTAATAAAGTAGCATGTAAAAAGAAATTGCATTTTAAGTCGGACAGTAAATGGGTTTTCTTTTTATTTCTCAGCAAATGAAGCAGTTTTATTAGCATGTTACAGATATTTCCAAATTGTTGTCTATTATATTTTACTAGCTTTCCTTCAGAAAATCCTGAAGATCTATTTGCAATAATAATGAGCCAGCCTTTAGTACCAGCATATGGTTCACATGCAAATAATAGTTTCCCAACATTTTTCTGAGTTACACTATTTTCTTATTGCTCTGTTTCCTGCACCCAACCAGCAGCATTCTCTTAGGGTGGAGGAATTAATCAACTTGTTCTGCACTTCTGAAACCAGTTTACCTTTGAAAAAGGTAAAAGGAAAAAGAGTTACTTTACTCTTCTCCCTGATATAAAAGTTACTCTACTTTTCCATTTCAATATATTATTTAAAGGATTTTTCTTCTTAAAAATCTTGGGAAGTCTAAGAGTGAAAGGAATGTTGGTTTTGGGGTTTTTTTGTTGCTATTGTGCTATTTTTAATCTACATGCAAATAAAACTGCTTCTCTCTTACACTGCTTGAACTAGAAAGTAAGATGTTTAATGTAGGTTACTAGTAACTAATAAGCACAAAGAATTATGTATAAGAAACAAGACTTAAGTGTTTTAAATAAAATGTAAACAGTTTTTATTTGATAGAGATGGAAAAATTGTGTTGGCTTGGTCTGCATGTTTAATGATGTGCTTATATATCAATAACTATGTTACTTTTAAATAAGTACACAAACAAGCCAAATTTTTAAATGACAGAGTCCATAAATAACTGGAAATTTTTGTCTGTTGTTATTAAGTTGAAATTTATAAACATGTATCACTAAATTGCACATTGCCTTTATTTGTGCTGTTTTTGGTTTACAGTGTAATAATACCTCATTTTTTAAAAAACCACTACTGTTCTATTTTGTTAATTTAAACAGCTAGAAAATTCATGTAGTTGCTTTTTTATACATACTCTGTTCATGAATTCTTGGTTTTTGTATCTGCCACAGTATTTATCAGCAACGAAAGCATTGCACAGTATTTATCAGTACTTGCAAAATGTCCTGTCCTTTTTTAATCTTTGTTTAATCATATTTTTGTCTGTATGATCAGAAATTTTTAATAGTCCCTCATTTTTGTACAAATCTGTATTGTATTGCTGTTAATTTCCAGATCAAATTTTTCAAATATTAAAGTTATACAATCAACCTGACTTCAGTTCATTATTTGAATATTAGGCAGTCAAAACCATAAGTTAAAAACACCTTGGAATGTAGACAATTCTCTTTATTACACTGTCTCTTAAACTAATGCTTAGGAAAATCGCTAATATGTATTTATTTTTTAAAAATGTGCACTGATGCCAAATATGACCAACTTCTTTAGCACAACCTTTTTAGTATTAAATGATGTACATTCAATGTTTGGATATCACATGGTGTTCTGCCAACTAAATGTTGTAACACCATGAGGACACCTAGAAATGAACTAAGTATGACATTTCATTGACCAGAAATAGACAGCTTCAGATTTGAATAACCCTCCTCAGAGCCATCAGCTTAGTCTTTTTTCTCTTGGCCTACATTTCCCATGTGTAAAGGAAGAAGATTATGAGAAATTGGTAGCGAGTATGATTTAAAGTAGTGAAGAAAGATGTAGGGTAAATTTTCACAGGATAAGGACATAAGATCAGTTCTCCCAAATGGCCACATAGTCTTTCATCCAGAGTATAATTAAGAACTGAGTTGTATAGTCAGACTGCCAGTGTTTGGACTTACTTTACTAGCTGTATTTCCTTGGACAAATTAACCCTCTCCCCATGTCTCAATTGTAAAATGAAAATAGTTTGTAAAATGGGAATAATAATACCAAAAAAAAATGGATACAGAATAAACCTACCTATCACATAGACAACATTGTTGGGAAGACTAAATGAATGAATACGTATAAAGCACTTATACAAATCCTAGCATATATATAGTAAGCATTATAGTATGATACACAAGGAATCAGTGCTAATGAGATAACATCTTACAAACACCTGCTTCAGAAGCCTTCTGTGACAACAGATTAAAGAACACAAAGTGGTTTTAAGGTATTAAAATTATGTTTGGACATAACTATATGAAGCCATCATCACTCTGAACCCAAAACCTGGCAGATATCACACACACAAACACACACACACAAATTGGAGATCAGTATCCCCAATGAACACATGCAAAAATCCTCATCAATATCTTGGCAAACCAATTCAACAATACATAAAGAGGATCATATATCATGATCAGGTAGGTTTTATTCCAGGGACCCAAGAGTCATTCAACAACTAAAAATATATCACTATTCTCCACATCAACAAAAAGGAAAGATAAAAATTACAAGGCATCAATAGATGCAGTGAAATCATGATAAAAGTCAAAATCCATTTATGATAAAAGCTCAAAAGAGTAGAGATAGGTGGAACATACCTCAATCTAATGGCCATATGTGACAAGCTTACAGCTGATATCATACTCAATGGTAAAACTGAAAGTTTTTCCTCTAAGATGTAGTACATTACAAGGATGTCCACTTTCACCGCTGCTATTCATCACAGTATAAGACGTCCTAGCTAGAGCAGTTAAGCAAGAGAAAGCAATACAAGCAATCCAAATTGGAAAAGAAAACTGACACTATTTGTAGATGGCATGATAATATGCATGCACAGACAGGCCAAAAGATTCCACTAAAAAAACAAATTGAAATATGATTATAAATCAAATACAGTGACATGGCAGGTTAAAAAATCAGTTTACAAAATAAATTGTATTTCTATTTGCAAACTTGCCAGGTGCAGAAGAAAACTACCCCATTCACAGTTGCATTAAAAAATAAATGTGGGGGGACTTCCGGAAGATGGCGGCAGAGTAAAGACGCCGAGATCACCGCGTCCAAGCCGGCATAGGAACTGAGGACTGAAAACGGACTATAGACTCACTTACTACAAGTTTTAACCCAAACGAAAACACCCTGGACTCACTAGAAGGTAGATAACTGCGAGGGAATCCGAGACTGGGTAGTTCCCAGAAGGGAACTCCCGGGAAAACCCGGGCCCCTGGAAGTTCCGCGGGAGCCGCTCTGCCCCAAGCTAAACCCTGGAGGTAAAGCTGGACGGCTCAGCTCAGTGAGTGGAGCCCAGGCTGCAGAAAGACTGCAAATCTGATCCTCAATACCTGGG